CGGACTCAGCTGTGTGTGTAGGATCGTTCTTCCTTCCCGGACTCAGCTGTGTGTGTGTAGGATCGTTCTTCCTTCCCGGACTCAGCTGTGTGTGTAGGATCGTTCTTCCTTCCCGGACTCAGCTGTGTGTGTAGGATCGTTCTTCCTTCCCGGACTCAGCTGTGTGTGTAGGATCGTTCTTCCCGGACTCAGCTGTGTGTGTAGGATCGTTCTTCCTTCCCGGACTCAGCTGTGTGTGTAGGATCGTTCTTCCTTCCCGGACTCAGCTGTGTGTGTAGGATCGTTCTTCCTTCCCGGACTCAGCTGTGTGTGTAGGATCGTTCTTCCCGGACTCAGCTGTGTGTGTAGGATCGTTCTTCCCGGACTCAGCTGTGTGTGTAGGATCGTCCTTCCCGGACTCAGCTGTGTGTGTAGGATCGTTCCTCCTTCCCGGACTCAGCTGTGTGTGTAGGATCGTTCTTCCTTCCCGGACTCAGCTGTGTGTGTAGGATCGTTCTTCCTTCCCGGACTCAGCTGTGTGTGTAGGATCGTTCTTCCTTCCTGGACTCAGCTGTGTGTGTAGGATCGTTCTTCCTTCCTGGACTCAGCTGTGTGTGTAGGATCGTTCTTCCTTCCTGGACTCAGCTGTGTGTGTAGGATCGTTCTTCCTTCCCGGACTCAGCTGTGTGTGTAGGATCGTTCTTCCCGGACTCAGCTGTGTGTGTAGGATCGTTCTTCCTTCCCGGACTCAGCTGTGTGTGTAGGATCGTTCTTCCTTCCCGGACTCAGCTGTGTGTGTAGGATCGTTCTTCCTTCCCGGACTCAGCTGTGTGTGTAGGATCGTTCTTCCTTCCCGGACTCAGCTGTGTGTGTAGGATCGTTCTTCCCGGACTCAGCTGTGTGTGTAGGATCGTTCTTCCCAGACTCAGCTGTGTGTGTAGGATCGTTCTTCCTTCCCGGACTCAGCTGTGTGTGTAGGATCGTTCTTCCTTCCCGGACTCAGCTGTGTGTGTAGGATCGTTCTTCCTTCCCGGACTCAGCTGTGTGTGTAGGATCGTTCTTCCTTCCCGGACTCAGCTGTGTGTGTAGGATCGTTCTTCCTTCCCGGACTCAGCTGTGTGTGTAGGATCGTTCTTCCTTCCCGGACTCAGCTGTGTGTGTAGGATCGTTCTTCCTTCCCGGACTCAGCTGTGTGTGTAGGATCGTTCTTCCTTCCCGGACTCAGCTGTGTGTGTAGGATCGTTCTTCCTTCCCGGACTCAGCTGTGTGTGTAGGATCGTTCTTCCTTCCCGGACTCAGCTGTGTGTGTAGGATCGTTCTTCCTTCCCGGACTCAGCTGTGTGTGTAGGATCGTTCTTCCCGGACTCAGCTGTGTGTGTAGGATCGTTCTTCCCGGACTCAGCTGTGTGTGTAGGATCGTTCTTCCTTCCCGGACTCAGCTGTGTGTGTAGGATCGTTCTTCCTTCCCGGACTCAGCTGTGTGTGTAGGATCGTTCTTCCCGGACTCAGCTGTGTGTGTAGGATCGTTCTTCCCGGACTTAGCTGTGTGTGTAGGATCGTTCTTCCTTCCCGGACTCAGCTGTGTGTGTAGGATCGTTCTTCCCGGACTCAGCTGTGTGTGTAGGATCGTTCTTTACCCGGACTTAGCTGTGTGTGTAGGATCGTTCTTCCTTCCCGGACTCAGCTGTGTGTGTAGGATCGTTCTTCCTTCCCGGACTCAGCTGTGTGTGTAGGATCGTTCTTCCTTCCGGACTCAGCTGTGTGTGTAGGATCGTTCTTCCCGGACTCAGCTGTGTGTGTAGGATCGTTCTTCCTTCCCGGACTCAGCTGTGTGTGTAGGATCGTTCTTCCCGGACTCAGCTGTGTGTGTAGGATCGTTCTTCCCGGACTTAGCTGTGTGTGTAGGATCGTTCTTCCCGGACTCAGCTGTGTGTGTAGGATCGTTCTTCCCGGACTCAGCTGTGTGTGTAGGATCGTTCTTCCCGGACTTAGCTGTGTGTGTAGGATCGTTCTTCCTTCCCGGACTCAGCTGTGTGTGTAGGATCGTTCTTCCTTCCCGGACTCGGCTGTGTGTGTAGGATCGTTCTTCCCGGACTCAGCTGTGTGTGTAGGATCGTTCTTCCTTCCCGGACTCAGCTGTGTGTAGGATCGTTCTTCCCGGACTCAGCTGTGTGTGTAGGATCGTTCTTCCTTCCCGGACTCAGCTGTGTGTGTAGGATCGTTCTTCCCGGACTCAGCTGTGTGTGTAGGATCGTTCTTCCTTCCCGGACTCAGCTGTGTGTGTAGGATCGTTCTTCCTTCCCGGACTCAGCTGTGTGTGTAGGATCGTTCTTCCTTCCCGGACTCAGCTGTGTGTGTAGGATCGTTCTTCCTTCCCGGACTCAGCTGTGTGTGTAGGATCGTTCTTCCCGGACTCAGCTGTGTGTGTAGGATCGTTCTTCCCGGACTCAGCTGTGTGTGTAGGATCGTTCTTCCTTCCCGGACTCAGCTGTGTGTGTAGGATCGTTCTTCCTTCCCGGACTCAGCTGTGTGTGTAGGATCGTTCTTCCCGGACTCAGCTGTGTGTGTAGGATCATTCTTCCCGGACTCAGCTGTGTGTGTAGGATCGTTCTTCCTTCCCGGACTCAGCTGTGTGTGTAGGATCGTTCTTCCCGGACTCAGCTGTGTGTGTAGGATCATTCTTCCTTCCCGGACTCAGCTGTGTGTGTAGGATCGTTCTTCCTTCCCGGACTCAGCTGTGTGTGTAGGATCGTTCTTCCTTCCCGGACTCAGCTGTGTGTGTAGGATCGTTCTTCCTTCCCGGACTCAGCTGTGTGTGTAGGATCGTTCTTCCCGGACTCAGCTGTGTGTGTAGGATCATTCTTCCCGGACTCAGCTGTGTGTGTAGGATCGTTCTTCCTTCCCGGACTCAGCTGTGTGTGTAGGATCGTTCTTCCTTCCCGGACTCAGCTGTGTGTGTAGGATCGTTCTTCCTTCCCGGACTCAGCTGTGTGTGTAGGATCGTTCTTCCTTCCCGGACTCAGCTGTGTGTGTAGGATCGTTCTTCCTTCCCGGACTCAGCTGTGTGTGTAGGATCGTTCTTCCTTCCCGGACTCAGCTGTGTGTGTAGGATCGTTCTTCCCGGACTCAGCTGTGTGTGTAGGATCGTTCCTCCTTCCCGGACTCAGCTGTGTGTGTAGGATCGTTCTTCCCGGACTCAGCTGTGTGTGTAGGATCGTTCTTCCTTCCCGGACTCAGCTGTGTGTGTAGGATCGTTCTTCCTTCCCGGACTCAGCTGTGTGTGTAGGATCGTTCTTCCCGGACTCAGCTGTGTGTGTAGGATCGTTCTTCCTTCCCGGACTCAGCTGTGTGTGTAGGATCGTTCTTCCTTCCCGGACTCAGCTGTGTGTGTAGGATCGTTCTTCCTTCCCGGACTCAGCTGTGTGTGTAGGATCGTTCTTCCCGGACTCAGCTGTGTGTGTAGGATCGTTCTTCCCGGACTCAGCTGTGTGTAGGATCGTTCTTCCTTCCCGGACTCAGCTGTGTGTGTAGGATCGTTCTTCCCGGACTCAGCTGTGTGTGTAGGATCGTTCTTCCCGGACTCAGCTGTGTGTGTAGGATCGTTCTTACAGTCAATACATCCACTTCAGGGACAACATGTTCCCTTGCCACCTAATATTTACCACCCCCCTTCAGATGTCATTGTGATCCTCATTCTTCCTTCACCTGTCAGTGGTCACAATGTTATGGGTGGAGGATTCCTCGGCCAATCGGATGGGTTGGATTGCTCCGCTCTGTCCGTTTGTTGTATTGAGGCAGCAGGATCCCGCCTACAGGAGGGGAGAGCAGAGAGATGGCTTCATGTTTTATGCCGCCCCTCCTTTACTGTCCAATCAGAGGAAGGCACAGAGTCGCCAGTGCTAGGAGTACCATTGGTGTGATGGGGGGCGGTAATGGTTCCCACAATGCAGGTGGGGTGTATACAGGACGCTGACATTGGGATCTCTCAGCAGCTCCGGAAGCCGCCGGTTTGTCGTTCTCCTATTAATACATCGATCATTTCTATTCCCTAATGTTAGTCCCAGAATGTGATCTCTGCATCTTGAAGTCCCCTGTACAGCAGAGCTCATACTGGAAGGGGGGGAAGTAGCACCGTCGGTGAGATCTATGAAGTACTTGTGGGCGGACCTGGGGCACGCTGACAGGAGGAGAGAGCAGAGGGACAGAGACATGATCTCAGCACTGTGCTGCTTCTTTCACTGTCCAATCACAGGCTGGGAAGAAGAGGAAAGAAGCTCCCGCTGTCCTCACAAACGCACGTTTGATGGCAGATTGAGCCGTTCTTTGAGAATCCACCAATTACATCAGCCAACGCGTTTCGGGAGGGAAGACTCCCTTCTTCAGGGGTTCCCGGCCGGGTGTTCCGGGTTTCGGAGGATCGCGGCTGGCATTCCCGGGGCAGCAACTGTTCTCCATGGGTGCCACCTCCTCGGCCAGCAGACGGGCGCTCCAAATATTCCAAGTCTACGCGAGGAGCGGCCTCCAGGCAGCAGCCCAATCCCTGAGAGGGGACCACCTGGGTCAGTCAGTGACGGCACCGTCAGAGCCACAGTCCGGGCCACAAATGGCGTCTATTCAGCCAATCAGAGATGGAGGAACGTATTCAGGAATGTTTACATATCACACGGAGGTGGTGGAGACTTTATGGAGGAGGTCAGGGAGAGAGAGGGGTGGAGGACCTGGAATGGAGGCCGATGGAGGGATTGGCAGAGAGGGGTAGAGGACCTGGAATGGAGGCCGATGGAGGGATTGGCAGAGAGGGGTGGAGGACCTGGAATGGAGGCCGATGGAGGGATTGGCAGAGGGGGGTGGAGGGCCTGGAATGGAGGCCGATGGAGGGATTGGCAGAGGGGGGTGGAGGACCTGGAATGGAGGCCGATGGAGGGATTGGCAGAGAGGGGTGGAGGACCTGGAATGGAGGCCGATGGAGGGATTGGCAGAGAGGGGTGGAGGACCTGGAATGGAGGCCGATGGAGGAGGTCAGGGAGAGAGAGGGGTGGAGGACCTGGAATGGAGGCCGATGGAGGGATTGGCAGAGGGGGGTGGAGGACCTGGAATGGAGGCCGATGGAGGGATTGGCAGAAAGGGGGTGGAGAGCACTTAGTGGAGGCTGGGGAGGGATCAGTGGAGAGATGGCAGAGATGGGTGGAGGACACTGAATGGAGGCCGGCAGAGGGATTGGTGGAAAGGGGCAGAGGACACTGAATGGAGACAGGTGGAGGGCACTAAGTGGAGGCTGGGGAGGGATTGGCAGAGATGGGTGGAGGACACTGAATGGAGGCCAGTGGAGGGATTGGCAGAGGCCGGTGGAGAGGGGCAGAGGATACTGAAATGAGGCCGGTAGAGGGCACCGAGTGGAGGCTGGGGAGGGATGGCAGAGAGGGGTGGGGGACACTGAGTGGAGGGATTGGCAGAGAGGGATGGAGGACACTGAATGGAGGCCAGTGGAGGGATTGGCAGAGAGGGGTGGGGGACACTGAATGGAGGTCAGTGAAGGGATTGGCAGAGAGGGGTGGGGGACACTGAATGGAGGGATTGGCAGAGAGGGGTGGGGGACACTGAATGGAGGTCAGTGAAGGGATTGGCAGAGAGGGGTGGAGGACACTGAATGGAGGCCAGTGGAGGGATTGGCAGAGAGGGGGATGGAGGACACTGAATGGAGGCCAGTGGAGGGATTGGCAGAGAGGGGGATGGAGGACACTGAATGGAGGCCAGTGGAGGGATTGGCAGAGGCCGGTGGAGAGGGGCAGAGGATACTGAAATGAGGCCGGTAGAGGGCACTGAGTGGAGGCTGGGGAGGGATGGAGGCCAGGGAGAAGGGGGAATATAATGAGTGCAGTTTTTGCAGGATTGAGGCTGAGGAAGGTTGTGACCTCCATACTGATTTGGCTGCAGTTGGTTGGTGGAAGACCTCAGGGATTGCTGGGAGTTGTAGTCACCTCGGACCGGTTGCAGTGATACGGGGACGTGGACTAACCCCCGCTCTGCTGAACACGGTCGGTGTTGTGGTCCGGAGAGGTTTTGTGTCTGGAATGAATACTGGAGGCTCCACCATCCCTCTGAATAGAAACCCGCAGAGCGATCCTGGCGGCTGGGAAGATGTTCGATGGGAGAGGAGATTTGTACAGACAGTGATGGCAGCTCTGATATCTCTACATGCTCCTCCCCCCCGCTACTCCGCTCTTCATCTATTGGTCACCATTCATTCCAGCCATCAGCTGATTGGATCTAATTTTCCTCTCCAGTTTTGGTGTGAGCCAATCAGACACCTTGCGGCTCTGCGCGATTCGGCACAAAGGATCGATTAATGAAAATTCTGATGATTTGGGATCATTTCCATAAATTCATTTATAAATAAATATTCCGCAATGCCGGATCATTAGCTGATTGGCCACAACAAAAGAGAAAGCTGCAGGGACCTCCCCCTATATAACCCCTCCCACTTCCAGCTGTAGGCACCTCCCCTATATAGCTCCTCCCACTCCTTGCTGGCTATATAGGGAATATCCCTTCTGGGAGGAGTTATACAGATATCCTGCGGGGGAGTGGGAGGAGTTATACAGGGGATATCCCGCTGGGAGTGGGAGGAGTTGTACAGGGGATATCCCGCTGGGAGTGGGAGGAGTTGTACAGGGGATATCCCGCTGGGAGTGGGAGGAGTTGTACAGGGAATATCCCGCTGGGAGTGGGAGGAGTTGTACAAGGGATATTCCGCTGGGAGTGGGAGGAGTTGTACAAGGGATATCCTGCTGGGAGTGGGAGGAGTTGTACAAGGGATATCCCGCTGGGAGTGGGAGGAGTTACCCTATATTAAAAACATGTGCCACGAGTGATTTTAGAGAGATTTCAGAGTCCAGCTCCGCCTTCTAACTATGAGACCGCCTCTGTCTGAAGGTGTAGAGTACAGGATGGGGGAGGGGCTATTCTGCCAACTCCTTCAGCTGGGTGTGAAATGTGAAGTGCAGCTATTGAGCTTTGTATGTTTTTTTTTTTTTTTTTTTTTTAATATTCATTCCATTATACATTGTATCATTATATACATCCTATTATACATTGTATCATTATATACATCCTATTATACATTGTATCATTATATACATCCTATTATACATTGTATCATTATATACATTATATTATACATTGTATCATTATATACATTCCATTATACATTGTATCATTATATACATTCCATTATACATTGTATCATTATATACATCATATTATACATTGTATCATTATATACATTATATTATACATTGTATCATTATATACATTCCATTATACATTGTATCATTATATACATCATATTATACATTGTATCATTATATACATTATATTATACATTGTATCATTATATACATTCTATTATACATTGTATCATTATATACATCCTATTATACATTGTATCATTATATACATTATATTATACATTGTATCATTATATACATCCTATTATACACTGTATCATTATATACATTCCATTATACATTGTATCATTATATACATCATATTATACATTGTATCATTATATACATTCTATTATACATTGTATCATTATGTACATCCTATTATACATTGTATCATTATATACATCCTATTATACATTGTATCATTATATACATTATATTATACACTGTATCATTATATACATCCTATTATACATTGTATCATTATATACATCCTATTATACATTGTATCATTATATACATCCTATTATACATTGTATCATTATATACATCATATTATACATTGTATCATTATATACATTATATTATACATTGTATCATTATATACATTCCATTATACATTGTATCATTATATACATTCCATTATACATTGTATCATTATATACATCCTATTATACATTGTATCATTATATACATCCTATTATACATTGTATCATTATATACATCCCATTATACATTGTATCATTATATATATCCCATTATACATTGTATCATTATATACATCCCATTATACATTGTATCATTATATACATCCCATTATACATTGTATCATTATATACATCCCATTATACATTGTATCATTATATACATCCTATTATACATTGTATCATTATATACATTAAATTATACATTGTATCATTATATACATTCCATTATACATTGTATCATTATATACATCATATTATACATTGTATCATTATATACATTCTATTATACATTGTATCATTATATACATTCTATTATACATTGTATCATTATATACATCCTATTATACATTGTATCATTATATACATCCTATTATACATTGTATCATTATATACATTATATTATACATTGTATCATTATATACATTCCATTATACATTGTATCATTATATACATCATATTATACATTGTATCATTATATACATCCCATTATACATTGTATCATTATATACATCATATTATACATTGTATCATTATATACATCCCATTATACATTGTATCATTATATATATCCCATTATACATTGTATCATTATATACATCCCATTATACATTGTATCATTATATACATCCCATTATACATTGTATCATTATATACATCCCATTATACATTGTATCATTATATACATCCTATTATACATTGTATCATTATATACATTATATTATACATTGTATCATTATATACATTCCATTATACATTGTATCATTATATATACATCATATTATACATTGTATCATTATATACATTATATTATACATTGTATCATTATATACATCCTATTATACATTGTATCATTATATACATCCTATTATACATTGTATCATTATATACATCCTATTATACATTGTATCATTATATACATTATATTATACATTGTAACATTATATACATCCCATTATACATTGTATCATTATATACATTCTATTATACATTGTATCATTATATACATTATATTATACATTGTATCATTATATACATCATATTATACATTGTATCATTATATACATCCTATTATACATTGTATCATTATATACATCCTATTATACATTGTATCATTATATACATCCTATTATACATTGTATCATTATATACATTATATTATACATTGTATCATTATATACATCCTATTATACATTGTATCATTATATACATCCTATTATACATTGTATCATTATATACATCCTATTATACATTGTATCATTATATACATCCTATTATACATTGTATCATTATATACATCCTATTATACATTGTATCATTATATACATTATATTATACATTGTAACATTATATACATCCCATTATACATTGTATCATTATATACATTTTATTATACATTGTATCATTATATACATCATATTATACATTGTATCATTATATACATCCTATTTTACATTGTAACATTATATACATCCTATTATACATTGTATCATTATATACATCCCATTATACATTGTATCTCTCTCACTTCTGGCATAGAGGGAAACAAATGTTTAACAAAAAAAAATAAAAACTAAGAAATATTAAAAAATAAAGAAAAAATATCTAGATGAAGGTTTGATCTAGTTCAGTGCAAGGGTTAGTGTTTGGGTCAGGGTCAAAGGTCAGGGTCAAAGGTCAGGATTTTTTTTTACTTGGTGTCGGTGTGTTTTTAGGTAAAATAAATAAATAAAAATGCTCCCTATTATATCCGGGCCGTACTCCGGGTACAGACAACATCCACATCTATGGTATCGCTGCGATCGTCAGGAGCGGGAGAATGGATTTCGGGTCGTTCTGTGGCGGTCGGTTATGGTAGTAACAAGAAGCTACATTTTAAAAAAAATATTTTTTTTTTTTTACTGTTTTGGGCAAGTTTTCCTTTGATAATTAAAGTCCGGAGATATCCATTACCATTCACCACCAAATGAAAGCCCGATGTCCTGAAAACAACGCGGTATAATCCGCCTGGATGTACGAAGTCATTGTGATGATATGTACAGGGGCACTGCCCGGGGTCAGTAGGGGGCCCCATGAGATGCCCCTGGTACCTTTTTCAAAGGCTTTTTTGAGTTTGGGCAAGGATACAGGGGCCCCATGATCCCCTATTGCCCGGGGGCCCCATGAGTTGTCAGTCCTCCCCTGGATATGTACAGATTTACTAACAAGTCAACGTTGCAAAATTGTGCTTAGGCATTAAGATTTGTTTTATCCTTAGGTGTGAAGGGGTTAATGGAGGGATGGATGGATGGAGGGATGGAGGGATGGATGGATGGATGGATGGAGGAACAAATGGATAGAGACATCGGATAAACGGATGGATGGAGGAATGGATGGGTCCATAGATGATGGAGACATGGAATATGAAATGACTTTTAACATGTCTACAGCGTGTTGGCAGATCTCGCCCTCCGGCTCGCGCAGGGGGGGGGGGGGGGGATCTCGCCCTCCGGCTCGCGCGGGGGGGGGGGGGATCTCGCCCTCCGGCCCGCGTGAATCCCGTCCTTCGGGCCGTGTGGGGGATCGGGGGATCCCGTCGTGTCGGAGGATCTCACACTCTGTTTGTTTGACTTGCAGGGAGGAGGCGATCCCTTCATGGTAAGAAGAAATTAAATCCAAATCCAGAGGAGGAGAAGAGCGCCCCCGGTGTTGGTTCAGCCGAGATGAAGGATTCCTCAGATGGTGAGATTTCACATACTTGTCCCGCCCCCGAGCACTGCTTCTGGTTCCATCCACAGGAAGTGCCAAGCACACTGTGGTTCTGGCAGGATCAACAAATATTTTCTCT